ATGCATTTTACCACCAGTATGAACATTTTTCATAAATATTTAAATATTGTAATATTTATCTTTTTACTTTTTTAAGTATCTTGTTAAGTATAAACAATTACTAAAAGTAATATCGTAATGGTATTTTATTTAAAATTAAAGATTTATTTAAAATAAAAATAATACTTATTTAGATAAACAAGCAACTTGCAAACAAATTATTGTTGCAATTGAGTAAACAATGAGCGATTGAGGTTTAACAAATGATTTAAAATAAATAGCAAATATAGACTTCACCTTCATCTTAAAAGCTTAATAGGTTTTTAATTTCTAAATCTTTCTTTAAAATGACTGATCTTCTAGTCAGAAGATTTGCATATTGCAATGAATTATATATTACAATTAATATACAGTCTTAAATCAAAAATATATAATTCTTGTTTGATGGCATCATCTTAAGAAGTAGACACTATCTTATCAGTACAACCAATACCTCAACCTATTTTTTTTATTAACATCCTATATTTCTATTTAGTAGAAGCATAAGTTGTGTAACTATCGATGATGTTGATTTTCTTTAATTATTTAATTAAAGAATTAGCAAAGATATTCAGTGATTCTACAAAACTATATAGTTTCAATATAAAAAACATTTTAATGATAACAACTCTGAATGGAAAATACCATTTGGGCAATCAAATGGCATGTTAGACTACCACGTCTTAATCTAACTGAAAATCAATAAAACTAATTGTTTGAAAGGTAAATAACCAAAGATATTGCAGGCTGCATTTTTTCAAAATTATTGGTAAAACTTTTTTTTCATTCAGGATATTTGTAGAACCTTTTACCTGCCAAAACACAAACCTTCTGTTAGTGTATGAATTGAATAATATACTAGTAATATTCATTAGTGACATACTGACATCAAAGACACTTAGGTCAGTTGTAAGGTCGACATTGCTGAATGCTGACCATGATTCCAAAGTCTGTACATATGTACACACATGTATACAACATACTTATATAAAGTGGGACTTACATTAGTATATATATATATATATATACTAATGTATATATATGTATATATATGTATAATATATATACATATATTTATACATATAGGTATATACATATATATACATATATTTATACATATATAAATATATGTATATATATGTATGTATGTATATATATATATATATATATATATATATATATATATATATATATATATATATATATATATATATATATATATATATATATATATATATATTTATTTACAGTGACTCGCCACGAAAATGATGCAGGGTAGTATAAAAAATGTTTTTGTGATTAAAAATTGCAAATCCACTATCAAACAATATTGATCTATGTCCAGAAATCATCAAAACATACCTCAAAAGTCTAAACTCATCTAAATCACCAGGCCTAGATGAATTACACCCAAGAAAACTTTCAAATATCTAAACATCTATCTACTATTTTTAACAAAGTCCTTGAAAGTGGATCAATACCTCAAATATGGATAGACGCAACAATTACACCCATATTCAAAAAAGGAGACAGGTCAAATGCACTAAATTATAGACCTATCAGTATAACTTGTAATTTAATAAAAATCTTTGAAAAAATTATATAAAAATCATATTATGACATACCTGATTAACAATAACTTATTAAGTTCACACCAATATGGATTTCATCCAGATCATTCTTGCTTAACTAACCTTTAACTGTAATTTATAATTGGACATCATTACTAGATAATAATATTCCCACCAACAACATTTATCTCGATTTTGAAAAAGCGTTTGACAAAGTTCCACATAAACTTCTTATTTTTCAACTTATAGCTTATGGTATAAATGAATCAATTAAAAACTTTTTTAAAAACCGTAGACAAAGAGTTGTTGTTAATGGTAATTACTCAAACTAGGTACCCGTTAAAAGTGGAGTTTCCCAAGGCTCCATCCTTTCAGCATTACTTTCTATTATATATGTTAACGATATCCCTGAAGTAATCAAATCAAAAGCTGCTCTTTTGAAAGAGCAGCTTTTGATTTGATTACTTCAGGGATATGTCATTTTTTTATTCTTGCGCAGATTGAGTATTTTCTATTGAAAATACTTAATCTGCGCAAGAATTAAAAAATGACATAGACGCTCTTGTTTCATGGTCTCAAAAATGGGGAATGAAATTTAACATTGATAAATGCTCTGTAATACACTTAGGACACAACAACAAACCCCATACTTATAATATGTATGATCCAGAAAAAAATATAAGTGTAAACATTAAACCCACAAATTGCGAATTAGGTGTCCACATAGATTCGAACTTATTATTTTCCATAATATATAAACACACAACTATTCAAGTCAACAAAGGCACACAAATAATAGGAATAATAAAAAGAGCATTTACATCATATCCAGATTTATTATTCTTCAAAAAATTATTTTAAGCTCTAGTCTAATACTGTGGATCAATCTGTAACCCTGAACTTCTCAAAGACAAATGGCAAACAGAAAATGTGTTAAGAAGAGCTTCGAAGCAAATCAATGGATTATATGATCTATCATACAAACAAAGGTTGTTGGCGTTAAATATGACAACTGTAAAATACAGCCTACTTCGTGCAGACCTAATCAACGTCTATAAATGGTGCAAAAGTAACAATAGCGATAGAAGTCTTTTTGAAATAGAAAGCCAAACTGTTACTCGTGGTCATGAAAAAAAATCTTCACGATTAAGTTTATGTATAAATTTTTTTTCTCTAAGAATAATAAATAAATGGAACTCTCTTCCAATGACATTGTATCAGCATTATCTCTAAAAATGTTTAAGCTGCTTCTAGACAACATCTAAAAAATAAATGGTTTCTCTACGACTAACATTTTATTAACCAAATTTTTTTTCTATTAGTTATACAAACTGTGTAATTGTCAAGTATTATATAACTAGGTTGACAGGCAGTTTATGTCTACTCAATTTAGTGTAAAACCTTAATAATAAAAAAAATAAAAAATAATAAAAATTACTTGAACATAATCTTTCTGAAAATAAACTACATTATATTAAAGAGCATATCTTTTAATATTATTATAGCGAAAAAATGTAATAAATTTAAAAACAACTATATTATTTTTTGTTAAACAAATATAAACTAAACAAAAACTACATCACAGTGAAATTGATGCAATCAAAAAAATACAAAAGAAAATCATAACAGGTAGGATTTCCTTTGGACTTAATTACTAATTCTAGCCTATTAGGAATTGATTCCACTAATATGTTTGTTTATTCTGGAGTATTTTATTCTACTCTTCCAGCAATGCATGTTTTAAATCATTTTTATTATTTATTGTATGTTTACGAATTTCTAAGTTTAGCTAATGCCATAAATTTTCAATAATATTTATATCAGGAGACAGTGGCAGAGTTTTCATCAATTTAGGATATTTTTACAATAACCACTCTCGCACTATGTGTGGTGTATGTTTGGAAACATTTACCTGGTAAAAAACAAAGTTATGTTTTATGTCCAATTTTTTGACACTGGTTGTTAAGTTTTCTTTTAAAATGTTAAAGTACATTATTTTGACCATATTGCCCTTGATAAAATGTAAATTGCCCACTCCATTAGCAATAACCCCAACCATTACATGACCACCACCATGTTTTACAGTTGGTTTTAAATGTTGAGGTTTCATCTCTCAGTTCGCTCTTTGCCATAATTTTACTCAACCATTTGAAACCAAAGATGTTAAACTTACTTTCATCAGTAAATAAAACATTCTTTTAGAAGTTTAAAATCTTTTTTGTAAATTTTGGCAAACTTGAGTCAATTTTTTTTATTTTGGTTGCTTACGAATGGTTTCCTCCAAGCCATTCTACCATGTAAGCCGTTTTTTTTTTAAACTCTACGGATTGTTTCTGGATTCATATTTTTTTTAAATTGTTTTTTTTACCTCAATGGCAAGCTTTGGTGCACTTAAACATGGATTATCTCACAAAGTTCGGACAATCCAATGTTCTTCTCTTATTATAAAACTTTATTTGGGACTTATTTTCACTTTATTTTTTACTCTATTTTCATTTTGATAACGTTCTATTATATGCTGCACTGTAGATGCACTTTTATAGATGCAATTTTGCATTGACTTATTTTAATTTGAAAATGAAATAGGATTAATTGTCTTTCTTTGAGAGCCAGGTGTCCCCAAATTTTAACTTTTGTACTTTGAAACACACACAAATTAATTAACAAACAGATTAATAATTAACAATATTAATAACAATTTGACAGATGTCATACTAAAGCAAAAGAATATAATTGCGGTTAGTTACTTCTGATTTTTGAGAGATATGGCAATGAAAATAGTTGCATCATTTTCACTGTGACGTTTTTTACAATAAACAATATGTTTTGTATTTTTGTTTAGAAATTAATTTAAATCAACATAAAAACAAATGTCTAATATAAAGATTATGCTACAATGTATACTTTACATAGAATAATATTTTCAAAAATTATACTGAATCATTTTCACTGTGAGTCACAAGATTGACTACTATGCTGCATCATATATATATATATATATATATATATATATATATATATATATATATATATATATATATATATATATATATATATATATATATATATATATATATATATATATATGTATATATATATATATGATGCAGCATAGTATATATGTATATATATATATATATATATATATATATATATATATATATATATATATATATATATGTATATATATATATATATTTAGTTTGATCAAATTTAAAAAAGAACTTCAATATCTTAAACTACCTAACAATTTTAACAACCTTTTTACTTTTATTTTTCTTTTGGTTTTGCTTTTTTGCTTTTAATTTACTTTTTGTTCAAATAGTTACTAATTCTGATTTATCCTTTCAGTGAATATATTAAACAAAAATGGTTATTAAAAATCAAAAATCAACCATATTATAAACATACTTAAAACCAAGATGTTTTAAATGTTGACCAATTATCCTAATAATTTCTTCATCATGTCTAGAAAGTGCTTTCCTCTTTATATGAAAATTACTTTCTTTTAATGCGACAAGTTTGTCTGTATTAAAGTCTGTTACTCCATTTTGAACTAATTCACAAATAATTTCCCCGTTATCGTTTGAATCTGTGCTAGTTTGATTTTTCATATTTAATTTCCAATTCAGAAAAGAATTAGGTTCTGTAGAATTGTTTTTATCAAACCGTGGTCTTTTTGTTGGTGGCGGTGAATCTCCACCTAGATTCTCTTCTCTTGATGATTCCAGGGCGAATTCCTATTCAAAATTACTTCTATAACTCGATAAGAGCAATAAAAAATCTTATACCTTCTAAATTCAATACATCTTATTTTATAATTAAAGTCCGGTATCAAAACTGTCTTAATAAAAGACAAAGACGTTAATACAGCTTTGTTGACAAAATTGAAAATATGATTTATACGATAAATCCAATGAATTGTGGTTTACATCTACTGAAACAACTATTTTTCGACATGCGTTTAATTTTAAAAATTCTTTTACTAAAATAAAAAAATATGTTAAGATTTATTATTAAATAAGTTTTTTTATCAAATTAGTTAAGCTTATTTCAAAACGTTAATACTTGAAATAAGTTTTGTATTAACAATTTTTTAAGTCAAAAAATTTGCTATTTATTTTTACATCCTTGTCATAAAAGTTTTTAAAAATATCAACTTTTATTGCGTCCTGATTAGTATTAAAATTATAAATACTATAATTATCATATCAAATAGAATTTAGTTGAATTAATAAATAATGATGACATAATCTATTTCTACATCCTTGGTCACACTTGATTTTCTTGACCTTTGGTTTATAGATAAGTTTAAAGGCAAATAAATAGCATGGTTTTTTTATTGTTATTGATACCAAATCATTAACTTAACATCTTGGTTCTTTAATTAATTCGCGGAATAATTCGAGTTGATATCTCTCTTTTCCCAAATAATTGTTTGTTACAGTATGTTCTAGCTTTCGTCTATTTGCCAAAAAATATTTTGGATGATGGATTTAAAGACGCTTCTAGTGACATCTGTTTCTTAACTGACGGCTGTAAAACTAGAGACGGAATATTTGGCGGAACTTTTGCCTCCTTTTCCCAAAGGAAATTTAAAAATCTTTAACATTGGTTTTTAACTTGAAAGATTTAGGGTGAAATGCAAGAAGCAAACTTGAGTCAAGATCGACCTGAACTTTATTTTGTAACCAATAGCGGCAGAGTATTTTTTGAGGGGAAAACCCATACTCTATCACTATTGGTTATAATGTAAAGTCGAGCTTGACTCAAGTTCGCTTCTTGCATTCCACCCTTAGGTGCAAATATTAAAAACTTGACATCAAAGTTGCGTTTTAAATGATTTATTATCAAATTTTGACTATTAAAAAAAATTATGATTTTGACGGTGATTTTTTTCTCTAAAACTATCGAAAAAGTATTGATTTTTTCAATGTGGTTTTTCTTTCTAAAACTTTTGAAAAAATTTAAAGTTTTATATTCAAAATAAAGGTTGAAAATTAGATGCTTCGCTTCTATGTAAAAAAAAAATAGTTTTTTTAAAGTTTAAAAAATTATAATTAAATTTAATATTTTGAACATGCTAAAACTTTTTTTAATAATTTTTTTTCAAAAACTAATTTCAAAAAAAATAAACTATTTTTTTTAAAACTTAATATCATCTTATATAGATAAAAATTTCCTACGATATGATCGAAAACTGAATCGGTGAATGTTAAAAGGGCGGAAGTCTAACTATGAAAACTTTCGGGAAACTAAAAAAAACTGCATTTTCCCCCGTAGTAAATATTTGTTAATGATTCAATAATTTTTGTTTGAAGGTAAAAAAACATTATGCCCTTCAAAAAAAAAATTAAACCATAAAAAAAAAATTACTACGGGGGAAAATGCAGTTTTCTAAGTTTCCCGAAAGTTTTCATTGTTGGACTTCCGCCCTTTTAACATTCACCGAGTCAACTGTTTTTAAAGGGTTTGCTCAATAAATAATTATGAAGGAATATATAAATGTTTTCCTATTTCATTGCATCCTCTATTGCATCCCATCGCGTTTTACTCTATTTTTTATCTTTGGTGGTAATATGAAAATTTTAGTTTATTTGACAGATTTAGAATAAAAAATCATTCTCTGTGACAAAATCATGCTTAACAACAACAGGAAACAGTAAGTGTTAATTTAGGTCAGATATTCTGAAGTTTTAAAAGGTGAAAACTTATGATAGAAACAACTGGCGACATAATTATTGGGTTTGTAAGCATTTATGACGCCAAGTCTTAAAACTATCTCAAAATGCTATCAGGTTGATAAAACTGGAAATATGTGTTTTTGTCACATTATTGTTATTTTTTAATTTGCTTAATAGCGTCTAGAAGTTTGTAGTAAGATTTATAATCATTATTAACATAAACTTAAATACTTAAATAATTTGCAAATATAATGATAAAGCATTTCAATAATAATAATTTAAAAAAATGTTATTAATCTTACTTTGATATCGAGTAGGGAAGATGGGGGCGCATTGATCGCCGTTGCAGTATTTTGAAAACTGCAAACAACCCGATCTAGGTATAAAAACTTATTAATTACTAAACTAAACTAGAACAATCTGTCTTTAAGTAAAAATAAATGCTTTAATAAAAAAAATTGATGAACATGGTATATTTCAACATTACAACAACCTTTGCAAAGATCAATGTACCCCATGCAATGGGGTACATTGTACCCCATTGCATGGGGTACAATGTACATTGCATGGGGACATAATTAGGGGTACTATGATCTCCGATATGGGGCGCTTTGATCTTATATGAGTAACATTATTTACATTTTTAATACTGCTATACCTTAGTGCTACAAATGCATTAGTTGAAGGGTATTATTGTATTGTATATATATATATATATATATATATATATATATATATGTATAAATATCATTACAACCTAATACACACCAGTGTATAATATTTTTATTAGAAAAATGACCACAATTCTATCTATGAAAATAAGCCCATTATATACTACTAACATATATATAATATATAATATATGTGTTAAGTTTTACAAAACTTGAAGCTTATAAAGTCTATAAGAATACAGCATTTTAAGTTTACAAAGAAAATACAAGATTCATACAAGATTTTTATTAGAACTAAATTTTACAAGGTTATTTTTTTATATTATCTTCCTTTGTCAAAGTCAAGTCGTGATGCTGCTTTTACATTACATTCTTTTTTCTTCCTAAGAAAGTAGTTTTTAACTTCTCTCCTTTTTTTATCTTTTGCGATAAGTTTCTTTTGTTGGTTGATTTGTTTTAGGGTTTTCTTTTCTTCTGACAAACGAATTTCATTTCTGATTGAATTTTTAGTCAAAATTCTTGTTTTTAATTGCCTACTTTTAACACTTCTTTTTCTGGCAAACGCTTTCGGGTAAGGTTTCAAAACTTCAGGTGAGAGTAATGAAGCAATGCTTGGTGACACTTTGTTCAAAAAACTTGTTTCATAATGTACTACAGGTATTTCAGGCTCCATGCCATCAACATGTGCTACAGTCATTTCAGGTTCCACAAGAATTGTGTTTACTACATTTAAAGCAGCAAAATTTGTAACTGATGATGGTAAATATTCATCATCTTTACAAATTTCTGGATTAAATGGCTCAATGCCAGCTACTTGAAATTCTCTCTGTATATTAGATGGTGAGAAAGCTTTTAGATATGGTTCGCGAACTATTGAAACAATATCATAAATGGTTATAGGTCTTGGATTTGTGATTATCCAATTATCACACGCAGCATTGTAAAACCTTTTTAATGGTCCAAAAATAGTTCTATCCAATGGTTGCAATTTATAGGTACAATGGGAAGGAAAGCTTAGCATTGCAATTCCATGTTGAATTGCAAGATCCAAAGCTCTAACAGAAATATGACTTTTATGGCTGTCCAGAAGTAACAAAACTGGAAATTCATGAGAACAGTTTGAATACCTCACAAAATGTTTTATCCATTCTGTAAAAATGTCTGAATTCATCCAACCAGAAGGATTTGCAAATCCCACGCATCCAGGAGGACCTTCCTTTATCGTGTAATCATGAAATTTGACCCTATGAAAAATAAATAGTGGAGGAATAGAGTTTCCAATTGCATTTGAAGCACAACATACAGTTACTAATGTTCCTCGTTCTGCAGATGTGATTCTTCCTACTTGTTTACTTCCTTTACCTGCTAACACTTTTACTGGCTTTTGTACCATTGTTAAACCAGTTTCATCAACATTATACATGCAATAAGGATCAAACTTATATCAATTTCTTACTGTTTTTAGGTGTTCGTAAAGACAACTCTGGTTGTCTTTTCATAAAACCTTGCAACCAATCCATCTCTGCAATTTTATTCTTGATCCATGATGAAGGGCAAATCTTATTATTTTTTACAGCAAACTCGTATGCCAATAATCGTATTGACTAAGTCGAAAGTCCATTGTTCATTTTTGATGCAAGTAGTAAATAACTTGACAAACTTTTTTCATCTTCTGCAGTAAAAACTTGTTTATTGTTGTAATTAGGCTTAAAAGATTCATTTGGATTGAGCTTCTTTTTTTACAATATCTTTTTAAAGTCATTTGATTTATGCTAAACTTGCGAGCTACAACATTCACTGGTCTGCCCTCTAAAACTTCATCAACAGCTGCTTTCATTGTATCAGATGATATAGCAACTCTGTCTGTTTTTTTTTTCTATACCTAACCATTTAAAGATCTGAAAATTAAAAAAAAAAGTAAAATAAAATGATTGTTTAAAAAAAATATTTTATACAATAATATTATGTAAACTAATTGTAAAACTCATGTAAAACTAAAAACTAATGTTATTAATATTAGTTTTTAACACTATTACATTTTAAAAATGAAATTTTAAAAATTTATATAAAGATTATTTATTCGTCATAAGTTTAAATGTATAAAATTTAAACAAAAAATTTAAGTCTTATAATTTAAGTTATATGGGGAACTTTGATCCTCTGATCAATGAGCCCCGCATAGTCAACGATCAATATGCCCCATTAGGTACAGTTGATATATTGATACCAATAACTTCTATAAATACAGTAACCAACTCAAAAAAACAAATTTATTATAAACTTAACACATAGGAGTTTACAATAAATTGGTTGTAAAGTCATACGGAAATCTATGAAAAAGTTTATTTGAATTTGTTTACAACTTTCAAAAATCACTTTTCATGATGAAAAACTGTCTTTTCAAGACAGTTTTCAAGACAAGTCTTTAAGGCTGAAATTGATCTTATCAAAAATTATTACGATTAAGCAATGAAGGGTAGTATAATGGTTAATTAAATTGCAACCTCTGTTAAATTAAGGCAAATGTAAACGAGTAAAACCTAAAAGGTCATACTGCCCCGGCGATCAATGCGCCCCCATCTCCCTTACTTTTATACAAGGATAACATTTTAAGAATTTTAATAAATTAATATCAGAGTATGTTGGTAAATATATTGCCGTATTAAAGACAACATTTTATTGTCTCGTGAGTCTTTTTTATTTAATTGATTCAGTTCATAGTTTCATGATAACTTTTTGTCAAGAAATACCCCGAGATATTGTATTATTTAATTTTACTTTTTAAATCTGAAAAATACTAAGTTCAGTTTTGTTGATGTTTTGGATAATACGGTTACTATCTAATTTTTGACACAAAAGAACAAGAACATAATCTCGTGGGACGCCATTTTTGATAATTTTATTTGTGGATTCAAACACACTAATTAAGTCAAACTGAGTACGAATTTTAAACAATGAAAACTGAGTACGAATTTTAAACGATAAAAACAATTTAATTGTATAACTTATTTATATATGTTAATTACTGATTAATTTGAACACCAGTTAAATCAAACTTTTTTCATTTTTAACTGTTTCATTAGGACCCTTGAAATTGTTTAATCAAATTCTTGGGCTGTCCATTAATTATGTCAACAAAATTGGGGTAGGGTCTGAAAACATTTGACAATTGTTGACAAGGGGGAGAGGAGTGACCATAACTAATGGAGAACGCCATTATTAAAATTCTACTGTTAAATCAAACTTTAGATAAATCGAAATTTGTTTGAACTCTCTTTTCGTCCCCTTCATCAAAATTTTCGGATAACTCAAACTTTTTGTATGGGAATTAAAGAAACTAAAAATAACTTGATTGAAAGTTATTTTAAAAAACATTTAAATAACATTAGCCTAATATTTTCTTTATATTTTCGTATTATTTAGATCTGAATAGAATAAATCGTTATCGTACTTAAAATAATCCTATAATAAAACTGCTTAAAAATAAAATTTATTTTGTAAAATTATTATTTTTATATTCAAAATAGTTTAGTAACGCAATGACAAAATTGTGTCTAAAGGCGGTCTGTTATTGAGAAATTTTTAAAAAATATAAAATAATTGTTTTTTAACGGTTTATATTATGATTTATTAAATTAATTTATTTTTTATTATTTAAAATTATTTATTAAATAAACTAATTTATTAAATAAATCAAAACAAAAACGGTTATAAAAACAACTATTTTATATTGAAAATAATTATCCTAATTTAAAGAGCGCTTTTAGACGTAATTTTATAAGGAAGTTTTTGTATCGCTAAATTTTTTTAAGATTATCTTTTAAGTGTGCTGCGTGAAAACGTATCTTCGTTACGCACATATGTAGTTTTTTTTATGAAAATATTTTTTAAGCTTTAGCATAAATTTTTAGCAAAATGGTGTAAAAATAATTGAATAAAGAATAAACTTCCCCCTCAAATTGAGGGGGGTTAAACTTTTTATGGTCATAATTTTTTAACGTTGAGAGATAACTAAAGTAAATTTATCGATGAATATGAGTCTAGTTACGAATAGTACAAAAATATTTTATCAACTAGTTGCTCCTCACGTTTGGGGATAGGGAAGGGGCGAATAAAATGTTAGGGCATTTTTCATTCCCAACCTCCAATCATCGCAATTTTTTATAAAGCTTGTTTGTTTGACATATCATAAAAATAAAAATGTTTTGGAGTTTGCTCCATGTCTGGAAGTAAATATCTCAAACACCAAAAAATCCTGGATCCGTCGCTGATCGGGTATTAACTTTTATTAGTTTTTTATATCTACTGTTTAAAATGTATAATAGAGAACTTTATTTTTGGTATCAAAGTTTAGATGACAAAAGCTAGCCTATGTGTACACAGTATTAAGACAAAAAATTTATTCAATTTTCGGAGTTTCTGATAATTGAGAAAAAAAGAAAAGAGTGATTCAAAATAATACCAAAAAAATACCAATTTGTTTAAAGCTAATTTTCAAATTTACATAAAAAAAACTCGGAGAATTGAGTGATTCTTAATAAGTAGTATTTAATTAAATAATTCAATAGACGTCCCCAATTTTATTTTTATTATACAATAAAAAATCTATTTAAATTTTAATTTGGTCTGTTAAAAATGTAAAATTTCTTTACTTACAACAATTTTTGGACGTCCCCAATGCATTGCAACCTAAAATATGTTGTCAAAATCTTTTGTTTTGAGATAATCAGGATGTATGATGATAATTTCCTATAAATGTTTTAAACTATAAATTTAAATGTTTTAAATTATAAATTTAATTTTCAATGCTTAATTTCTAAATACTCGGTTTTCTTTTATAACTTTCAGACTTACCCTAATTAAAACACCCTGAAATACATAAGATTTATTCTTAAAATTTAGAATGTTGTTTAATGTTAAATGTCCAAACATTTATACGGTTAGCACGAATCCTAATAATACCAAACTAGCTGACCCAAGAACACCACTTATATGGGGTGATAGCGTACACACCAAGGTACTCTGTGATGCAAATTTTGAAATCTTTTAATTTTGTCCGCGGAAAATAATTTAATTTGAATATTTAAACTAAGTGAATTTTTGACTTTACTATGCGACAATAAAAACACCTGTTTAAGGAGAAATTATATAATTTGATAAAAATTGGTGCAAATATATCAAATGACTGCACCAAACTCTAGATAAAATTTCACCCAGATTGATTTACTGGTTCAAGATTTATAGCAGTTTTTATTTATTATTATTTAAATTATTATAGATTTTGTTAGTTTTTTGCTACCTCAAAACGTTACCGATTACTGTGATATTCGGTCACTATTTTCAAAATAATTTTACATGATTGTTCTACTATATAATACTAACAATTTTTGTTATAATTGTTTTATTGCTACAACTACCATTTTAATTTTATAGACCAAATTATTGATTTGATTATGGATTGGGTAAAATTATTGGCTAAGGTAAAAACTACTGTACAAAAATTTAGATAAGGTAACTAAAATAGTTAATAAATAAAAAGTTTGGAGGGCCAGTCAGAAAAAAATCTTACGAAAGGGAGTATTGTCCTTTGAAGAGCAGTATGAATCTTTTGTTGGTCATCAAATAAAATCTTATCTAAATAAGTATGACAAGTCTCTTATAAATACAATAAATTTTATAAATTTATTCTATATATAAATTAATTTAAATAGTTATAACTTTTAAAGGAAATAATTATGTAAGAATTATCTTCTTGTAAATTAAGTAATTATTTCCTTGATTTTAATCATTTGTAATTAGGGTTAGGAGTACCAAACAAAAAAAAAACCCGTAATTCAGTGTTGAAAATTTCTAACCCCAGGATTCCGGTTTTAATACTGGTATTTTTATTTTTCCTTTAATAAAAAAAACGAATAAATAATTTAATTAAAAAATGGTTTCACAATTAAAAAAAACTAAATTTATTTATTTAAAGAATAAAAAAAGAAAAACAAAATTCAGTAAAGTCTTAGTTATATTAATCATAAGAAAAGTAAGAAAACATAAAACTTTAAGGTTCTTCTTTTTCTGCAGTTGGTTGTTGATATAAGACCTTAGAAAACATGGATTGTTGAGCAAATTATCTCCCATCTTTGACTGAATTCTGGTGCAGATTAAACCAGCTGCAAAAAAAGCTCTCTCTGATTCTAAACTGCTTGGTTTAATACTTAGCAAATAAGTATATAATAAAGTTAAGTATTTGCCTCTTTTGCCGTTTGTCTCAAAAAAATTTTTTTGAGATTTTATTGATGAAAATAACAAAAATAAAAAATTTTATTTTTGTAATCTTCATCAATAAATTTGTCGTCATCTGTGAAATTCTGCTTTTTTTTTCAAATCTGGGTGTAGAAAATAATGTAACATTGGGATTTTCTTCATTATGCA